AAAGGAGAGACCCCAAAATAACGGGGGGGACCCCAAAAGAACTCCAAAATAACGGGGGGACCCCAAAATAAAGGGGGAAGGGACCCCAAAATGAAAAGGGGGGGACTTAAAATAAAGGGGGCCCCCAAAATAACGGGGGGGGGACCCCGAAATGAAAGGGGGGACCCCACAATAATGGGGGGGCTCTTAAAATAAAGGGGGGCCCCAAAATAACAGGGGGGACCCCAAAATATGGGGGAGGGAACCCCAAAAGAAAGGGGGGAGGGACCCCACAATAACGGGGGGGGACCCCAAAATAATGAGGGGGAGCAAAATAAAGGGGAGGGACCCCAAAATAACAAGGGGACCCCAAATAATGGGGGAGGGGGGGAAATAAAGGAGAGACCCCAAAATAACAGGGGGGGACCCCAAAATGAAAGGGGGGAACCCCAAAATAACGGGGGGGAGGCTTAAAATAATGGGGGGGACCCCAAAATAAGGGGAGGGACCCCGAAATAATGGGGGGACCCCAAAATAACAGAGGGGGCAAAAATAACGAGGGGGGAGACCCCAAAATAAGGGAGGGACCCCAAAATAACGGGGGGGTCTTAAAATAATGGGGGAGACCCCAAAATAAGGGGGGGACCCCAAAATAAAGGGGGGGACCCAAAAAAAATGGGGGGGACCCCAAAATAAAGGGGGGACCCCAAGGTGAAAGGGGGACCCCAAAATATGGGGGGGACCCCAAATAATGGGGGAGGGGGGCAAAAATAAAGGAGAGACCCCAAAATAATGGGGAGACCCCAAAATGAAAGGGGGGAACCCCAAAATAAACGGGGGGGACCCCAAAATAAAGGGGAGGGACCCCAAAATAAAGGGGGAAGGGACCCCAAAAGAAAAGGGGAAAGGACCCCAAAATAACAGGGGGGACCCCAAAATAATGGAGGGACCCCAAAATGAAAGGGGGGAACCCCGAAATAACGAGGGAACCCCAAATAATGGGGGAGGGGGGGAAATAAAGGAGAGACCCCAAAATAACAGGGGGGGACCCCAAAATGAAAGGGGGGAACCCCAAAATAACGGGGGGACCCCAAAATAAAGGGGAGGGACCCCAAAATAAAGGGGGAAGGGACCCCAAAATAAGGGGAGGACCCCAAAATAACAGGGGGGACCCCAAAATAAAGGCAAGGGACCCCAAAATAAACGGGGGGAGGGACCCCAAAATAAAGGGGAGGGACCCCAAAAGAAAGGGGGGAAGGACCCCAAAATAACGGGGGGACCCCAAAATAACAGGGGGGGACCCCAAAATAACGGGGGGCACCCCAAAATTAAAAAGAGAGAGCCTTAAAATAAAGAGGGACCCCAAAATAATGGGGGGACCCCAAAATAAAGGGGGAGACCCCAAAATAAGGGGAGGACCCCAAAATAAAGGGGGACCCCAAAATAATGGGGGGGTCTTAAAATAATAGGGGGGAACCCCAAAATAACGGAGGGACCCCAAAATAATATTTTGGGGGTTCCAGGGGCTGGTTTTGGGGTTATTTTGGGGTATTTTCAAGTATTTTGGGGTGGGTTTGGGGGTATTTTTGGGGTTATTTTGGGGTCCCAGTGAGGGTTTTTTGGGGTGGGGGTCTCAGGGGTTGTTTTGGGGGTCCCAGGGGTTGTTTCTGGGGTGGTTTTGGGGTATTTTTGGGGTCAGGGGGGGCAGTACCCAGGGGGCAGGACCCTCCTGGAGTGCCCCCTGACCCAGGGGTGGTTTTGGGGTTATTTTGGGGGTGTTTTGGGGTTATTTTGGGGTGGTTTTTTGGGGTGGGGGTCTCAGGGGTTGTTTTGGGGTCCCAGGGGTGTTTCTGGGGTTATTTGGGGTATTTTGGGGTCCCAGAGGGGGGTTTTGGGGTATTTTAGGGTATTTTGGGTGTTTTTAGGGTATTTTGGGGTCCCAGGAGGTGTTTTGGGTGTTTGGGGGTTATTTTGGGGTCCCAGGAGTGTTTTGGGATTTTGGGGTGGTCTAGGGATCAGGGCAGCTCTGAGCTGACAGGTGGTTTTGGGGTTGTTTTTGGGGTGGTCTCGGGGTTATTTTGGGGTGGTTTTGGGGTATTATTGGGGTGTTTCTGGGGTATTTTGGGGTATTTTTGGGGCAGGGGCCAAGGACCCTCCTGGAGTGCCCCCTGACCCAGGGGTGGTTTTGGGGTTATTTTGGGGTGGTTTTGGGGTTATTTTGGGGTGGTTTGGGTATATTGGGGTGTTTCTGGGGTATTTTGGGGGTATTTTTGGGGTGGGGTCTCAGGGGGGCAGTAGCCAGGGGGCAGGACCCTCCTGGAGTGCCCCCTGACCCAGGGGTGCCCCAGGACCCCCCTGAGGGGGAGTCTCTGGGCCGGGACCCTCTGGAGGAGCCTCTGGATCAGATCCCGAGCCCCCTCGGGAATGTGGGGGGGGAAGTGCAGGTCCACCTGGGGGGCACAGAGAGAGGGGTTAGGGGGCTTGGGGGGATTTGGGGGATTTGGGGGCATTTGGGGTCTCTAGGGGGATTTGGGGGGAATTGGGGGATTTGGGGAGGATTTGGGGTCTGGGGGGATTTGGGGGATTTGGGGTCTCGGGGGGGATTTGGGGGATTTGGGGGATTTGGGGAGGATTTGGGGGATTTGGGGTCTCTGGGGGATTGAGGGGGATTTGGGGTCTCTGGGAGGGATTTGGGGTCTCTGGGGAGGATTTGGGGTCTCTGGGAGGGATTTGGGGTCTCTGGGGAGGATTTGGGGTCTCTGGGAGGGATTTGGGGTCTCTGGGGGGATTTGGGGGATTTGGGGAGGATTTGGGGTCTCTGGGGGATTTGGGGTCTCTGGGGGGGATTTGGGGGATTTGGGGAGGATTTGGGGGGATTTGGGGTCTCTGGGAGGGATTTGGGAGGATTTGGGGTCTCTGGGGAGGGATTTGGGGTCTCTGGGGGAATTTGGGGTGTCTGGGAGGGATTTGGGGTCTCTTGGGGGATTTGGGGGATTTGGGGTCTCTTGGGGGATTTGGGGTCTCTGGGGAAGGATTTGGGGTCTCTGGGGGGAACTTGGGGGGTTTAGGGAGGATTTGGGGGTATTTGGGGGGTCTGGGGTGGATTTGGGGTCTCTGGGGGATTTGGGGTCTCTGGGGGATTTGGGGTCTCTGGGGGATGTGAGGGGATTTGGGGGTTTTGGGATGTCTGGGAGGGTTTTGGGGGATTTGGAGTCTCTGGGAGGGGATTTGGGGTCTCTGGGGGGATTTGGGGTCTCTGGGGGATTTGGGGTCCCTGGGGGATTTGGGGGGTTTGGGGGTGTCTGGGAGGGATTTGGAGTCTCTGGGAGGGATTTGGGGTCTCTGGGGGATTTGGGGGGTTGGGGTCTGTGGGGGAGGGATTTGGGGTCTGTGGGAGGAATTTGGGGGGATTTGGGGTCTCTGGGGATTTGGGGTCTGTGGGAGGGGATTTGGGGGGATTTGGGGGGATTTGGGGTCTCTGGGGGGATTTGGGGTCTCTGGGGGGGGGTTGGGGGGATTTGGGGGCATTTTGGGATATTTTAATGGATTTTTAGGGTATTTTGGGTCAGTTTGGGGGACAGTTTTGGGTCAGCTTTTGGGAGGATTTTGGAACCATTTTAAGGGATATTTTGAGGGGTTTGGTGTCAGTTTTGGGGATATTTTGGGGTATTTTGGGGGGGTTTTGGGTCACTTTTGGGGTGTTTTTGGGGGTCTCTGACCTGGGTGATCCTCCTGTAGGTGTCAGCAGCCGAGGGGCTCTCGAAGGGGGGGTTGGGGGGATTTTGGGATATTTTAATGGATTTTTAGGGTATTCTGGGTAAGTTTTGGGTCAGTTTAGGGTCAGTTTTGGGGCCAATTTTGGCTCAGTTTTGGGGGGATTTTGGAGCCATTTTAAGGGATATTTTGAGGGGGTTTAGGGGTCAGTTTGGGGATATTTTGGGGGGGTTTTTGGGTCAGTTTTGGGGGGGTTTGGGGGGATATTTTGGAGTATTTTGGGGGGGTTTTGGGTCAGTTTTGGGGATATTTTGTGGGGGGGTTGGGTCAGTTTTGGGGATATTTTGGGGTATTTTGGGGTATTTTGGGGATGTTTTTGGGGGTCTCTGACCTGGGTGATCCTCCTGTAGGTGTCAGCAGCCGAGGGGCTCTCGAAGGGGGTTGGGGATATTTTGGGATATTTTGGGGGTGTTTTTGGGGGTCTCTGACCTGGGTGATCCTCCTGTAGGTGTCAGCAGCCGAGGGGCTCTCGAAGGGGGGGTTTGGGGGGATATTTTGGGATATTTTGGGGTGTTTTTGGGGGTCTCTGACCTGGGTGATCCTCCTGTAGGTGTCAGCAGCCGAGGGGCTCTCGAAGGGGGGGTTTGGGGGGATTTTGGGGTATTTTAATGGATTTTTAGGATATTTTGGGTCAGTTCTGGGTCAGTTTGGGGGTCAGTTTTGGGGATATTCTGGGGTATTTTGGGTCAGTTTTGGGGGGATTTTGGAGCTGTTTTAAGGGATATTTTGAGGGGGTTTTGGGGTCAGTTTTGGGGATATTTTGGGGTATTTTGGGTCATTTTTGGGGGTCTCTGACCTGGGTGATCCTCCTGTAGGTGTCAGCGGCCGAGGGGCTCTCGAAGGGGGGATTTTGGGGTCAGTTTTGGGGATATTTTGGGGTATTTTGGGAGGGGTTTTGGGGGGGTTTGGGGGGATATTTTGGGGGATTTTGGGTCAGTTTTGGGGATTTTGGAGCTGTTTTAAGGATATTTTGAGGGGGTTTAAGGGGTTTTAGAGTCAGTTTTGGGGATATTTTGGTGTATTTTGGGGGGAGTTTGGGAGGATATTTTGGTGATATTTTGAGGGGGTTTTGGGGTCAGTTTTGGGGATATTTTGGGGTATTTTGGGGGGGGTTTTGGGTCAGTTTTGGGGGGATATTTTGGGGTATTTTGGGGGGATTTTGAAGCTGTTTTAAAGGATATTTTGAGGGGTTTTTAAGGGGGTTTTGGGGTCAGTTTTGGGGATATTTTGGGGTATTTTGGGGGGGTTTTTGGGGGTCTCTGACCTGGGTGATCCTCCTGTAGGTGTCAGCAGCCGAGGGGCTCTCGAAGGGGGGGTTTGGGGGGATATTTTGGGGATATTTTGGGATATTTTGGGGGTGTTTTTGGGGGTCTCTGACCTGGGTGATCCTCCTGTAGGTGTCAGCAGCCGAGGGGCTCGAAGGGGAGTTTGAGGGATATTTTGGGGTATTTTAATGGATTTTTAGGGTATTTGGGGTCAGTTTTGGGGGGATATTTTGAGGGTATTTTGGGTCAGTTTTGGGGATATTTTGGGGCTATTTTAAGGGATATTTTGGAGGTTTTGGGGGCTTGACCTGGGTATGATCGACTCCTGTAGGTGTCAGCAGGTCTTCGAGGGGCTCAGGGAAGGGGGTTTGGGGATATTTTGGGGGGGTTTTTGGGGGTCTCTGACCTGGGTGATCCTCCTGTAGGTGTCAGCGGCCGAGGGGCTCTCGAAGGGGGGGTTCCCAGCCAGGAGTTCGTAGCACAGGACCCCCAAACACCACAGATCCACCTTCTCATCGTGGCCCCCCCCCTCCACCATCTCGGGGGGGAGGTAATCCAGGGTCCCACACAGGGTGCGGCGTCTGGGGGGGCAGGGGTCACCTGGGGGTCTCAAACCCTCCTGAGCCCCCCAGACTCACCTGAACCCCCAGACCCTCCTGAGCCCCCCAGACCCCCAAAGACCCCCAGGTAATCCAGGGTCCCACACGGGTACGGCGTCTGGGGGCAGGGGGTCACCTGAGGCCCCCAGAGCCACCTGAGCACCCCCAGACCCCCAAAGACCCCCAGAGCCTCCTGAGCCCCCCAGACTCACCTGAGCCCCCAGACTCACCTGGACCCACCTGGACCCCCCAGACTCACCTGAGCCCCCAGACTCACCTGACCCCCAGGCCCTCCTGAGCCCCCAGACCCTCCTGAGCCCCAGGTAATCCAGGGTCCCACACAGGGTGCGGCGTCTGGGGGGGGCAGGGGTCACCTGGGGGTCTCAGACTCACCTGAGCCCCCAGACCCCCAAAGACCCCCAGGTAATCCAGGGTCCCACACAGGGTGCACGGCATCTGGGGGGTCAGGGGGTCACCTGGGGAGTCTCCAAACTCACCTGAGCCCCCAGACCCCCCAAAGACCCCCAGACTCACCTGGAACCCCAGACCCTCCTGAGCCCCCCAGACCCTCCTGAGCCCCCCAGACCCTCCTGAGCCCCCCAGCCCCCCAAAGACCCCCAGGTAATCCAGGGTCCCACACAGGGTGCGGCGTTTGGGGGGTCAGAAGTCACCTGGGGTCTCAAACCCTCCTGAGCCCCCAGACTCACCTGAGCCCTCCTAGACCCTCCTGAGCCCCCAGAGCCACCTGACCCCCCAGACTCACCTGGACCCCCAGACTCACCTGGACCCCCAGACTCACCTGGACCCCCAGACCCCTCCTGGGCCCTCCCAGGCTCACCTGAGCCCCTCAGACCCTCCTGAGCCCCCAGACCCTCCTTAGCCCCAGACTCACCTGAGCCCCCCAGACCCTCCTGAGCCCCCCCAGCCCCCAAAGACCCCCAGGTAATCCAGGGTCCCACACAGGGTGCGAGCGTCCAGGGGAGTCAAGTCACCTGAGCCCCCAGACCCACCTGAGCCCCCAGACTCACCTGAGCCCCCAGACCCTCCTGAGCCCCCCAGACCCTCCTGAGCCCACCCAGCCCCCAAAGACCCCCAGGTAATCCAGGGTCCCACACAGGGTGCGGCGTCTGGGGAGGTCAGGGTCACCTGGGTGGGTCTCAGACTCACCTGAACCCCCAGACCCTCCTGAGCCCCCCAGACCCTCCTGAGCCCCTCCAGACTCACCTGGACCCACCTGAGCCCCCAGACCCTCCTGAGACCCCCAGACCCCCAAACACCCCCCAGGTAATCCAGGGTCCCACACAGGTGCGGCGTCTGGGGGGGCAGGTCACCTGGGGGTCTCAGACTCACCTGAACCCCCCAAACCCTCCTGAGCTCCCCCAGACTCACCTGAACCCCCCCAGACCCTCCTGAGCCCCCCAGACCCATCTGGACCCACCTGGACCCCCAGACTCACCTGAGCCCCCCAGACCCTCCTGGAGCCCCCCAGACTCACCTGGGTCCCCCAGACCCTCCTGGAGCCCCCCAGACTCACCTGAGCCCCCAGAGCCACCTGAGCCCCCCAGATTCACCTGGACCCACCTGGACTCCCCCAGACCCTCCTGAGACCCCCCAGACCCTCCTGAGCCCCCCAGACTCACCTGGACCCACCTGAGGCCCCCCAGACCCACCTGAGCCCCCCAGACCCTCCTGGAGCCCCCAGACCCACCTGAGCCCCCCAGACTCCTCCTAGAGCCCCCCAGAGCCACCTAGGCCCCCAGACTCACCTGGACCCACCTGAGCCCCCAGACTCTACCTGGAGCCCCCAGAGCCACCTGAGCCCCCCAGAGCCACCCTGAGCCCCCCAGACTCACCTGGACCCCACCTGGACTCCCCCAGACCCTCCTGAGACCCCCAGACTCACCTGAGCCCCCAGACCCACCTGAGCCCCCCAGACCCACCTGAGCCCCCCAGACTCACCTGACCCCCAGACTCACCTGAGCCCCCAGACCCTCCTGAGCCTCCCAGACCCACCTGGACCCCCCCAGACCTCCTGAGCCCCCAGACCCTCCTGAGCCCCCAGACTCACCTGAGACCCCCCAGACCCTCCTGAGCCCCCCAGACCCTCCTGAGCCCCAGACCCTCTGAGGCCCTCCCAGACCCACCTGGACCCCCAGACCCTCCTGAGCCCCCAGACCCTCCTGAGCCCTCCCAGACTCACCTGGACCCCCCAGACCCACCTGAGCCCCCCCAGACTCACCTGGACCCACCTGGACTCCCCCAGACCTTCCTGAGCCTCCCAGACCCTCCTGAGCCCCCAGACTCACCTGGACCCCCAGACCCTCCTGAGGCCCCCAGACCCTCCTGAGCCCCCAGCCCCAAAGACCCCCCAGGTAATCCAGGGTCCCACACAGGTGCGGCGTCTGGGGAGGCAGTCACCTAGGGGGTCTCAGAACTCAACCTGGACCCCCCAGACCCTCCTGAGCCCCCCAGACCCTCCTGGAGCCCCCCAGACCCTCTGGGCCCCAGGACCCTAGGTCTCACCTGAGGGAGGGGCCGAGCTCAGACCACCCCAAATCCGGGATCTTGAGCCCCCAAACCCCCAGAACCCCTCCCAGACCCCAGGACCCCTCTAGAGCCCCCCAGGTGTGTCCAGGACCCCCAGGTTGTGCAGGTGGTACCTGAGGAGGAGCCAAGCTCAGACCACCCCCAAAATTGGCAATTTTGAGCCCCCAAAACCCCCAAAGCCCCCCAGGTGTGTCCAGGAGCCCCCAGGTGAGTGCAGGTGGTACCTGAGGGAGGGGGCGTGCACGGACCACCCAAAATCGGCGATTTTGAGCCCCAACCCCAGAACCCCCCCAGACCCAGGACCCCTCTAGAGCCCCCAGGTGTGTCCAGGAACCCCCAGGACCCCCCAGGTGGGTGCAGGGGGTACCTGAGGAGGGGCGGCACGGACCACCCGAATCAGCGATTTTGAGCCCCAAAACACCCCCAAAACCCCCCCAGGTGTGTCCAGGACCCCCCCAGGACCCCCAATCTCACCTGAGGGAGGGGCTGAGCTCAGACCACCCCAAAACCGGGATCTTGAGCTCCAAAAACCCCCAAAACTCCCCCAGAACCCCCAGGTGTGTCCAGGACCCCCAGGTGAGTGCAGGTGGTACCTGAGGGAGGGGCGTGCACGGACCACCCGAATCAGCGATTTTGAGCTCCAAAACCCCCAGGTGAGTCCAGGCCCCCAGGTGTGTCAGAGCCCCCAGGTGTGTCCAGGACCCCCAGGTGCTGCAGGAGGTACCTGAGGGAGGGGGCGTGCACTGACCACCCGAAATCAGCAATTCTGAGCCCCAAAACCCCCAGGAGCCCCCAGGTGTGTCCAGGAACCCCCAGGACCCCCAGGTCTCACCTGAGGAGGGGCTGAGCTCAGACCACCCCAAAATTGTCAATTTTGAGCCCCCAAACCCCCAGGTGTGTCCAGGCCCCCAGGTGTGTCACAGGCCCCCAGGTGTGTCCAGGACCCCTCAAGGTCTCACCTGAGGGAGGGCTGAGCTCAGACCACCCCAAATCTGGGATCTTGAGCCCCAAAAACTCCCCAAAACCCCCCCCAGGTGAGTCCAGGACCCCCTAGGTGTGTCCAGGGCCACCCATGGTCTCACCTGAGGGAGGGGTCGAGCTCAGACCACCCCAAATCCAGGATCTTGAGCCCCCCAAACCCCCCAGGTGTGTCCAGGACCCCCAGGTGTGTGCAGGGGGTACCTGAGGGAGGGGGCGTGCACGGACCACCCGAAATCGGCGATTTTGAGCCCCAAAAACACCCCCAGGTGTGTCCAGGACCCCCCCAGGTGTGTCCAGGACCCCCCCAGGACCCCCCCAGGTGAGTGCAGGTGGTACCTGAGGGAGGGGCCGAGCTCAGACCACCCCAAAATCAGCGATTTTGAGCCCCCCAAACTCCCCAAAAACCCCCCAGGTGTGTCCAGGCCCCCCCCAGGTGTGTCCAGGAACCCCCCCAGGACCCCCCCAGGTGAGTGCAGGGGGTACCTGAGGGAGGGGATGAGCTCAGACCACCCCAAAATTGGCAATTTTGAGGCCCCCAAAACCCCCAAAACCCCCCCAGGTGAGTCCAGGAGCCCCCCCAGGTGTGTGCAGGTGGTACCTGAGGGAGGGGGCGTGCACGGACCACCCAAAATCAGCGATTTTGAGCCCCCCCAAACCCCCCCAAACCCCCCCAGGTGAGTCCAGGAGCCCCCCAGGTGAGTGCAGGAGGTACCTGAGGGAGGGGGCGTGCACGGACCACCCAAAATCGGCGATTTTGAGCTCCCCTTTGAGGCCCAGCAGGAGGTTCTCGGGTTTGATGTCCCTGTGGATCACTTTGCGCCCGTGGCAGTACAGGAGGGCGTCTGCCAGCTCCTCCATCAGCTGCAGCCCCCCAAAAACCCCAAATTTGGGGGGTCAGGGGGGCCCAAAATCACCTTGGGGACCCCAAAAATCATCTCGGGGGGCCCCCAAAACCCCCCGACCCTCTGGGACCCCCCAGGACCCCCCAAAATCCCCCCCATGTGGGGTGGAAGCTCCTCCATCAGCTGAAACCCCCCAAAAACCCCAAAAACACCGTCAGGGGGACCCCAAAATCACCCCGGGGACCCCAAAAATCATCTCGGGGGGTCCCGAAATCCCCCGACCCTCTGGGACCTCCAAATGTCCCCCCAGGACCCCCAAATATCCTTCTGTGTGGGGTGGAAGCTCCTCCATCAGCTGCAGCCCCAAATTTGGGGGGTCAGGGGGGCCCAAAATCACCCCAGGGACCCCAAAAATCATCTCGGGGGACCCCGAAACCCCCCGACCCTCTGGGACCCCCAAATGTCCCCAGGACCCCAAAATCCCCCCCATGTGGGGTGGAAGCTCCTCCATCAGCTGCAACCCCAAATTTGGGGGGTCGGGGGGGTCCCAAAATCACCTTGGGGGGCCCAAAATCCCCTGGGGGACCCCAAAAATCATCTCGGGGGGTCCCCAAAACCCCCCGACCCTCTGGGACCCCCAAATGTCCCCCAGGACCCCCCAAAATCCCCCCCCATGTGGGGTGGAAGCTCCTCCATCACCTGAAACCCCCCAAAAATCCCAAAAACACCGTCAGGGGGACCCCAAAATCACCCCGAGGGTCCCCAAAAATCATCTCAGGGGGTCCCCAAAACCCCTGACTCTCTGGGACCCCCCAGGACCCCCCAAAATGTCCCCCAGGACCCTCAAATTTCCCTCTGTGTGGGGTGGAAGCTCCTCCATCAGCTGAAACCCCCCCAGAAATGGGGTCAGGGGACCCCAAAATCACCCCAGGGACCCCAAAAATCATCTCGGGGGGTCCCCAAAACCCCCCGACCCTCTGGGACCCCCAAATGTCCCCCAGGACCCCCCAAAATCCCCCCCATGTGGGGTGGAAGCTCCTCCATCAGCTGCAACCCCAAATTTGGGGGGTCAGGGGGGCCCCAAAATCACTCTGGGGGTCCCCAAAATCACCCCGGGGACCCCAAAAATCATCTCGGGGGGTCCCAAAACCCCCTGACCCTCTGGGACCCCCCAGGACCCCCCAAAATCCCCCCCATGTGGGGTGGAAGCTCCTCCATCAGCTGAAACCCCAAATTTGGGAGGTCAGGGGGGCCCCAAAATCATCTTGGGGGTCTCAAAATCACCCTGGGGGACCCCAAAAATCATCTCAGGGGGCCCCAAAACCCCCTGACCCTCTGGGACCCCCAAATGTCCCCCCAGGACCCCCCAAAATCTCCCCCATGTGGGGTGGAAGCTCCTCCATCAGCTGCAGCCCCCCAAAAACCCCAAAAACAGGGTTAGGGGGTCCCAAAATCATCCCAGGGGACCCCAAAAATCACCTCGGGGGGTCCTGAAACCCCCTGACCCTCTGGGACCCCCAAATGTCCCCCCAGGACCCCTCAAAATCCCCCCCATGTGGGGTGGAAGCTCCTCCTTCAGCTGAAACCCCAAATTTGGGGGGTCAGGGGGTCCCAAAATCATCTTGGGGGTCTCAAAATCATCTTGGGGACCCCAAAATCACCTTGGGGACCCCAAAAATCATCTCGGGGGGTCCCAAAACCCCCCGACCCTCTGGGACCCCCAAATGTCCCCCCAGGACCCCCCAAAATCCCCCCTCGGGTGTCCCCAGGGTGGGTTTGGGGTGGTTTTAGGGGGTGTTTTTGGGGTGATTTTGGGATATTTTTAGGGGGGTTTGGGGTTTTTTGGGGTCGTTTTGGGATGTTTTTAGGGTGGGTTTTGGGGTGGGTTTGGGGTGGGTTTTGGGGTAGTTTTGGGGTCTTTTGGGAGTGGTTTTGGAGGTGGTTTTGGGAGTGGATTTTGGGGGTATTTTTAGGGAGTCTTGGGGTGTTTTAGGGTGGGTTTTGGGGTGGTTTTAGGGGGGCTTTTGGGGTGTTTTTAGGGTGGGTTTTGGGGTGATTTTGGGGTGGTTTTGGGGTGCGTTTTGGGGTAGTTTTTGGGGTCTTTTGGGGTGGTTTTGGAGGTGGTTTTGGGGTGGGTTTTGGGGTCTTTTTGGGGGGGGTTTTGGGGGTGATTTTGGGGTGCCCCCGGGGTGGGTTTTGGGGTCGTTTTTGGGTTTTTTGGAGTGTTTTTAGGGTGTTTTTGGGGTGGTTTTGGGGTGGGTTTTGGGATGATTTCAGGGTGGTTTTGGGGTATATTTGGGGTGATTTTGGGGTGTTTTGGGGTGCGTTTGGAGGTGTTTTTAGGGTGGGTTTTGGGGTGATTTTGGGGTGTTCCCGGGGTGGGTTTTGGGGTCGTTTTTGGGGGTTTTTGGAGTGTTTTTAGGGTGTTTTTGGGGTGGGTTTGGGGTGGGTTTTGGAATGATTTCAGGCTGGTTTTGGGGTGGTTTTGGGGTATATTTGGGGTGATTTTGGGGTTTTTTGGGGTCGTTTTGGGGTGTTTTTAGGGTGGGTTTTGGGGTGATTTTGGGGGTGGTTTTGGGGTGGGTTTGGGATGATTTCGGGGTGGTTTTGGGGTATATTTGGGGTGATTTTGGGGTTTTTTGGGGTCGTTTTGGGGTGTTTTTAGGGTGGGTTTTGGGGTGATTTTGGGGTGGTTTTGGGGTGGGTTTTGGGGGGCTTTTTGGGGTGTCCCCAGGGTGGGTTTTGGGGTATGTTTGGGGTGGGTTTTGGGGTCGTTTTGGGGTTTTTTGGGGTCATTTTTGGGGTTTTTTGGGGTGATTTTGGGGTGGTTTTTAGGGTGTTTTTAGGGTGTTTTTGGGCTGGGTTTTAGGATGATTTCGGGGGGGGTTGGGATGATTTTGGGGTGTTTTTTGGGATGGTTTTTGGGGTGTTTTTTAGGGTGTTTTTAGGGTGTTTTTGGGTGGGGTTTTAGGATGATTTCAGGGGGTTCTTGGGGTGTTTTTGGGCTGGTTTTGGGGTGGTTTTGGGGTGTTTTTAGGGTGGGTTTTGGGATGATTTTAGGGTGGTTTTGGGATGTTTTTGGGTTGGTTTTGGGCTGGTTTTAGGATGATTTCAGGGTGGTTTTGGGGTGGGTTTTGGGGTGATTTTGGGGTATTTTTAGGGGGGGGTTTGGGGTGTTTTTAGGGGGTGATTTTGGGGTAATTTTGGGGTGGTTTTGTGCTGGTTTTTAGGATGATTTCAGGGTGGTTTTGGGGTGATTTTGGGGGTATTTTTAGGGGTTTTGGGGTGTTTTAAGGGAGTTGGGGTGATTTTCAGTTGTTTTTGGGCTGGTTTTTAGGATGATTTCGGGGTGGTTTTGGCGGTGGTTTTATGGTGTTTTTGGGGTCATTTCTGGGGTGGGTTTTGGGTTGTTTTTGGGTTGTTTTTAGGGGTGTTTTTGGGTGTCCCCAGGGTGGGTTTTAGGGTGGTTTTGGGGTGGGTTTTGGGGGGGATTTTGGGGTGTCCCCAGGGTGGGTTTAGGGGTCATTTTGGGGTGGGTTTGAGGTCGTTTTGGGGTGGTTTTGGAATATTTTTGGGGTGGTTTTGGAGGTGTTTTGGGGGTGGTTTTGGGTGTTTTGGGGCTGGTTTTTGGGGTGGTTTAGGGGTCGTTTGGGGTGTTTTGGGGTTGTTTGGTTTTTTGGGGGTGTTTTTGGGTGTCCCCAGGGTGGGTTTTGGGGTCATTTTGGGGTGGGTTTTGGGGTCGTTTTTGGGGTGGTTTTTGGAATATTTTTGGGGTGGTTTTGGGGTGTTTTTGGGGTGGTTTTTGGGTGTTTTTGGGGTGGTTTTGGGGTGGTTTTGGGGTCGTTTGGGGGTTTTTTGGGGTTGTTTTTGGTTTTTTTTGGGGGTGTTTTTGGGTGTCCCCAGGGTGGGTTTTAGGGTGGTTTTGGGGTGCGTTTTGGGGTCATTTTTGGTTTTTTTGAGGGTGTTTTTGGGTTGGTTTTGGAGTGGTTTTTGGAGTATTTTTGAGGTGGTTTCTGGGGTGGGTTTTGGGGTGGTTTTAGGGTGGGTTTTGGGGGTGTTTTTAGGGTGTTTTTGGGGTGTTTTTCAGGAAGTTTTTGGGCTGGTTTTTAGGATGATTTCGAGGTGGTTTTGGGGTGGGTTTTGGGATGTTTCTGGGGTGTTCTTCGGCTGTTTTGGGGGTGTTTTCAGGGTGATTTTTGGGATGTTTCTGAGGTATTTTTGGGCTGGTTTTGAGGCATTTTGGGGCTGGTTTTAAGAGTGTTTTGGGGCTGGTTTGGGGCTGGTTTTAAGAGTGTTTTAGGGGGTGTTTTCAGGGTGGTTTTTTGTGTGGTTTTTGGGCTGGTTTAGAGAATGTTTTTGAGGTCTTTTTAGGATGTTTCTGGGCTGTTTTTTGGCTGTTTTGGGGGTGTTTTGGGGGCGTTTTTTGGCTGGTTTTGGGGGTGTTTTTTGGTTGTTTTTGGAGTGTTTCTGGGGCGTTTTGGGGCTGGTTTTTAGAGTGGTTTTGGGGGTGTTTTTAGGGTGATTTTGGGCTCATTTTTAGGGTGTTTCTGGGGTCTTTTTAGGATGTTTCTGGCTTGGTTTTTAGAGTGTTTTTAGGATGTTTCTGGGCTGTTTTGGGGGCGATTTTGGGGTGTTTTTCAGGAGGTTTTTGGGCTGGTTTTTAGAGTGTTTTTTAGGATGTTTCTGGGCTGGTTTTTAGGGTGTTTCTGGGGTCCTTTCAGGATGTTTTGGGGCTGGTTTTTAGAGTGTTTTTTAGGATGTTTCTAGGCTGTTTTTGGTTCGTTTGGGGGCAATTTTGGGGTGTTTTGAGGAGGTTTTTGGGCTGGTTTTTAGGGTGTTTTTGGGGTGTTTTTAGGATGTTTTTGGGCTGGTTTGTAGAGTGTTTTTCAGGATGTTTCTGGGCTGGTTTTTAGGGTGTTTTTGGGGTGTTTCTGGGCTGGTTTTGGGGTGGGTTTTGGGGCGATTTTGGGGTATTTTTAGGATGGTTTTGGGGGTGTTTTTAGGGTGTTTTTGGGGTGTTTTTCAGGAGGTTTTTGGGCTGGTTTTTAGGGTGTTTTTGGGGTGTTTCTGGGCTGGTTTTTAGGGTGTTTTTGGGGGTGTTTCTGGGTTGATTTTGGGGTGGTTTTTGGGTCGATTTTGGGATGTTTTCAGGAGGTTTTTGAGCTGGTTTTTAGGGTGTTTCTGGGGTGTTTTTAGGATGTTTCTGGGCTGTTTTTTGGCTGGTTTTGGGGGTGTTTTTAAGAATGTTTTTGGGGTCTTTTTAGAATGTTTTTGGGCTGGTTTTTAGAGTGTTTTTTAGAATGTTTCTGGTTTGGTTTTTAGGGTGTTTTTGGGGGTGTTTTTGGGTTGGTTTTGGGATGGTTTTTGGGTGGATTTTGGGGTGTTTTCAGGAGGTTTTTGGGCTGGTTTTTAGGATGCTTTTGGGGTGTTTTTAGGATGTTTTTGGGGTGTTTTTAGGATGTTTTTGGGGTGTTTTGGGGGCGTTTTTCAGGGTATTTTTAGGGTCTTATCGGGGCGGTTTTTGGGGTATTTTTGGCCTGTTTTTGGGGTATTTTTGGGGTGTTTTGGGGCCTCACCGTGGCCGTCCTGGTGCTGTCGAGCCTCCTGCAGCGCTGGAGCTCCTTGTAGAGCTCCCCTCGGGGGGCGAATTCCAGGATGAGGAACACCCGGCGCCGGTCGTGGAAGTAATTGTAGAGCCTCAGCACGTTGGGGTGTCTGCAGGGACCCCGAAAAACACCCAGAAATGAGGCCCCCGGGGAGCCAAAAACCCCCAAATCACCCCCAGACTCACCCCAAAAATCACCCCAAATAACCCCAAAAATGAGAGCCCTGAGGAGGCAAAAAAACCTCCAAACGCCCCAGACTTACCCCAAAAATCACCCCAAATCACCCCAAAAACGAGACACCCAGGGAGCCAAAAACCCCCAAAATCACCCCCAGACTCACCCCAAAAATCACCCCAAATCAGCCCAAAAATGAGACACCCAGGGAGCCAAAAAAACCCCCCAAATCACCCCCAGATTCACCCCAAAAATCACCCCAAATCGCCCCAAAAATGAGGCCCCCAGGGAGCCAAAAACCCCCCAAATCACCCCCAGACTCACCCCAAAAATCACCCCAAATCACCCCAAAAATGAGACCCTTGGGGAGCCAAAAATCCCCCAAATCACCCCCAGACTCACCCCAAAAATCCCCCAAATCACCCCAAAAATGAGACACTCCGGGGACCAAAAATCTCCCCAAATCACCCCCAGACTCACCCCAACAATCACCCCAAATCACCCCAAAAATGAGACACTCAGGGGACCAAAAATCTCCCCAAATCACCCCCAGACTCACCCCAAAAATCCCCCCAAATCACCCCAAAAATGAGACACCCGGGGAGCAAAAAATCCCCCAAATCACCCCCAGACTCACCCCAAAAATCACCCCAAATCAGCCCAAAAATGAGACACCCGGGGAGCCAAAAAAACCCCCCAAACCACCCCAAAAATGAGAGCCCCCAGAGACCTAAAAACCCCCAAACCACCCCAAAACCACCCCCATTGTCACCCCAAAAATGAGACCCCTGAGGAGCCAAAAAAACCCCCGAAGTCACCCCCAAAATCACCCCAAAAATGAGGCCCCCGGGGAGCCAAAAACCCCCCCAAATCACCCCCAGACTCACCCCAAAAATCACCCCAAATCACCCCAAAAATGAGACACCCAGGGACCCAAAAACCCCCCCAAATCACCCCCAAAATCACCCCAAAAATGAGACCCCCGGGGAGTTAAAAATCACCCCAAAATCACCCCAAAAATAAGACCCTTGGGGAGCCAAAAAAAACCGCCAAACCACCCCCAAATCACCCTCATTGTCACCCCAAAATCACTCTAAATCACCCCAAAAATGAGACCCCCGGGGAGCAAAAATTCCCCCCAAATCACTCCCAAATCACCCCAAAAATGAGACCCTTGGGGAGCCAAAAAACCCCCCAAACCACCCCCCAAAAATCCCCCCAAAAATGAGACACCCAAGGACCCAAAAACCCCGTAAATCCCCCCAAAAATGAGACCCCCAAGGACCCAAAAACCCTGTAAATCCCCCCAAAAAAACAAGAGACCCCTTTTGGGGGTACCTGAGGTGTGCCTGGATCTCGATCTCCCTCCTGAGCTGATGCTCCACCCCCTCCTGCTCCACCTGCGACTTGAAGAGCACCTTGAGGGCCACCAGGAACCCAGAGCGGCGCTCGCGGGCCAGGTAAACATTCCCGAACTTCCCCTTGCCCAGGGGACGCCCCACCTCGAAATCCTCCAGGGAAAACGTCCTCCTGGAGAGGGGAAAGGGTCAGGGACACATCTGGGGACAGCTGGGAACATTTGGGGACATTTGGGGACACCTGGGAACATTTGGGGACACCTGGGGACAGCTGGGCCAGGTAAACGTTCCCGAACTTCCCCTTGCCCAGGGGACGCCCCCACCTCGAAATCCTCCAGGGAAAACGAACTCCTGGGGGGGGAAAAAGGGTCAGGGGGACACCTGGGGACACCTGGGGACATTTGGGGACATTTGGGGACAGCTGGGCCAGGTAAACGTTCCCGAACTTCCCCTTGCCCAGGGACGCCCCACCTCGAAATCCTCCAGGGAAAACGTCCTCCTGGGGGAAAAAGGGTCAGGGACACACCTGGGGACATTTGGGGACATTTGGGGACATTTGGGGACAGCTGGGCCAGGTAAACGTTCCCGAACTTCCCCTTGCCCAGGGGACGCCCCACCTCGAAATCCTCCAGGGAAAACGTCCTCCTGGGGGGGAAAAAGGGTCAGGGACACACCTGGAGACATTTGGGGACACCTGGGGACATTTGGGGACATTTGGGGACACCTGGGGACATTTGGGGACAGCTGGGCCAGGTAAACATTCCCGAACTTCCCCTTGCCCAGGGGAGCCCCCACCTCGAAATCCTCCAGGGAAAACGAACTCCTGGGGGGGGAAAAGGGTCAGGGGGACACCTGGGGACATTTGGGGACATTTGGGGACATTTGGGGACATTTGGGGACATTTGGGGACAGCTGGGCCAGGTAAACGTTCCCGAACTTCCCCTTGCCCAGGGGACGCCCCACCTCGAAATCCTCCAGGGAAAACGTCCTCCTGGGGGGGGGGAAAAAGGGTCAGGGGGACACCTGGGGACATTTGGTGGCATTTGGGGACACCTGGGGACATTTGGGGACATTTGGGGACAGCTGGGGACATTTGGTGGCATTTGGGGACAGCTGGGCCAGGTAAACGTTCCCGAACTTCCCCTTGCCCAGGGGACGCCCCACCTCGAAATCCTCCAGGGAAAACGTCCTCCTGGGGGGGAAAAAGGGTCAGGGACACACCTGGGGACATTTGGTGGCATTTGGGGACACCTGGGGACATTTGGGGACACCTGGGGACAGCTGGGCCAGGTAAACGTTCCCGAACTTCCCCTTGCCCAGGAGCCCCCACCTCGAAATCCTCCAGGGAAAACGAACTCCTGGGGGGGAAAAACACTCAGGGACACATTTGGGGACACCTGGGGACAGTTGGGGACAGTTGGGGACAGGTGGGGACATTTGGGGACAGCTGGGCCAGGTAAACGTTCCCGAACTTCCCCTTGCCCAGGGGACCCCCCACCTCGAAATCCTCCAGGGAAAACGTCCTCCTGGAGAGGGAAAAGGGTCAGGGGGACACCTGGGGACACCTGGGGACATTTGGTGGCATTTGGGGACACCTGGGGACATTTGGGGACATTTGGGGACATTTGGGGACAGCTGGGCCAGGTAAACGTTCCCGAACTTCCCCTTGCCCAGAGGAGCCCCCACCTCGAAATCCTCCAGGGAAAACGAACTCCTGGAGAGGGAAAAGGGTCAGGGACACACCTGGGGACATTTGGGGACACCTGGGGACATTTGGGGACACCTGGGGACATTTGGGGACACCTGGGCCAGGTAAACGTTCCCGAACTTCCCCTTGCCCAGGGGACGCCCCCACCTCGAAATCCTCCAGGGAAAACGAACTCCTGGGGGGGGAAAAACGGTCAGGGACACATCTGGGGACACCTGGGGACATTTGGGGACAGCTGGGGACATTTGGGGACATTTGGGGACATTTGGGGACACCTGGGGACACCTTGGACAGGTAGGGACACTTGGTAGCATCTGGGGACACATCTGGGGACACACCTGGGGGAACTAAAGAGGACATCTGGGACACTTGGGGACAATCCTGGGGACACACCTGGTTATACCTGGGGACATTTGGGGACACCTGGGACACTTGATGGCATTTGGGGACACATCTGGGGACACACCAGGGGGAATTAAAGAGGACATCTGGGACACTTGGGGACAATCCTGGGGACACTTGGTGGCACTTGGGGACACACTTGGGGACACCTGGGGACACCTGGGGGACACCTGGTGGCATCTGGTGGCATCTGGAGACACTTGGGGACACCTGAGACACAACTGGGGGAACTAAAGAGGACATCTGGGACACTTGGGGACGATCCTGGGGACACTTGGGGACACCTGGGGACACCTGAGGACACCTGGGGGCACCTGGTGGCATCTGGAGACACTTGGGGACACCTGGGGACATTTGGGGACAGCTGGGGACACACTTGGTGGCATCTGGAAACACTTGGGGACACCCTGAGGACTCACCTGGGGACTCACCTGGGACACCGAGGTCACCCCAGGACCCCCCCCAATGTCACCCAGGGGCCCTTGAGACCCCCCAATGTCACCCCCAGACCCCCCAGTGTCACCCCCAGACCCCCCAGTGTCACCCAGGGGTCCCTGAGACCCCCCAGTGTCACCCCAGGACCCCCCAATGTCACCCAGGGGGTCCCTGAGACCCCCCAGTGTCACCCCATACCTCCAGTGTCACCCCAGACCCCAGTGTCCTGGGGGTCCCTGAGACCCCCCCAGTGTCACCCCAGGGGTCCCTGAGACCCCCCAGTGTCACCCAGGGGGTCCCTGAGACCCCCCAGTGTCACCCCAGGACCCCCAATGTCACCCAGGAGGTCTCTGAGACCCCCAATGTCACCCCAGGACCCCCAGTGTCACCCCAGGACCCCCCAGTGTCACCCCAGGACCCCCCAGTGTCACCCCAGGACCCCCCAGTGTAACCCCAGGAACCCCCAGTGTCACCCCCAGACCCCCCGCAGTGTCACCCAGGGGTCCCCAGCCCCCTCCCCAGTGTCACTCCACGGGTGGGGAGGGCCGGCTGCAGCTGGGCTCGAGGGCACCCGCCCGGCTCCTGGGGGGAGGGGGTGAGACCCCCAAAACAGACCCCAAAAACACCCCCAGGACCCCTAAAACAACCCCTGGAACCCAAAAACAGACCCCAAAACACCTCCAGGACCCCAAAACAACCCCAGGAACAAAAAACAACCCCAGGAACCAAAAAACAGACCCCAAAACACCTCCAGGACCCCAAAACAACCCCAGGAACAAAAAACAACCCCAGGACCCCAAAAACAGACCCCAAAACACCCCCAGGAACCCAAAAACAGACCCCAAAACACCCCCAGAAACCCAAAAACAACCCCAGGAACCCCAAAAACACCCCCAGGACCCCAAAACACCCCCCAGACCCCCAAAACAACCCCAGGAACCCAAAACAACCCCAGGAACCCAAAAACAATCCCTGGAACCCAAAAACAGACCCTAAAACACCCCCAGGACCCCAAAACAACCCCAGGAACCCCAAAAACACCTCCAGGACCCCAAAACATCCTCCAGACCCCCAAAACAACCCCAGGAACCCCAAAAAACACCTCAGGACCCCCAAAGCCCCCCAGGACCCCCAAGACCCCCAACTCCCCCAAATCACCCTCAGGACCCCAAGCCCCCAAGATGCCCAAACTCCCCAAACCCCCTCCAAGACCCCCAAATCCCCTCCAGGATCCCCCAACCCTCAAACCCCCAAGCCTCTCAAGACCCCCAAGCCCCTCCAGGATCCCCAAATCCCCCAAGACCCCTCACAGACCCCCAAACTCCCCTAGGACCCCCAAATCCCCCAAGACCCCCAACCCCCAAGACCCCAAATCCCCAAACCCCTCCAAGACCCCCAATCTCCCACCAGGATCCCCAAACTCCTCCAGGACCCCCAAATCCCCCAAACCCTCCAAGACCCCCAAACCCTCCCCAGGACCCCTAAATCCCCCCAGGACCCCCAAATCCCCCAGGACCCCCAAACTCCCCAGAATCCCCCAAATCCTCCCCAGGACCCCTCAAATCCCCCAAGACCCCTCACACCCCAAATCCCCCAAGATCCCCAAATCCCCCAATCTCCCCCCAGGACCCCCAGACTCCTCCAAGACCCCCAAATCCCCCAGGCCCCCTAAATCCCCCAAGACCCCTCACATGCCCCCAAACCCCCTCAGGACTCCCCAAATCCCCAAATACCCCCAAACCTCTCCAAGACCCCCAGTCTCTCCTCCAGGACCCCCAAACTCACTCCAAGACCCCCAAATTCCCCCAAGACCCCCCCACATGCCCCCAAACCCCTCCAAGACCCCCAAATCCCCAAATCCTCCAGGACCCCCAGACTCCTCCAAGACCCCCAAATCCCCCAGGACCCCCAAATCCCCCAAGACCCCCAAACTCCCCCAGGACCCCCAAAACTCCCTCCAGGACCCCCAAATCCCCCAGGACCCCCAAATCCCCCAGGACCCCAAACTCCCCAGGACCCTCAAATCCCCCAAGACCCCCAAATCCCCCCAGGACCCCACAAACTCCCCCAGCACCCCTCACACCCCCAAACCCCTCCAAGACCCCCAAATCCCCCAGGACCCCCAAATCCTCCTCCAAGACCCCCAAATCCCTCCAGAACCCCCAAATCCCCCAAGACCCCCAAACCTCCCCCAGGACCCTCAAATCCCCCAGGACCCCTCAAATCCCCCTCAAGACCCCTCACACCCCCCAAATCCCCCAGGAACCCAAATCCCCCAAACCCTCCAAGACCCCCAAATCCCCCAGGACCCCACAATCCCTCCAGGACCCCCAAATCCCCCAGGTCCCCCAAACCCCCTTACCTGGCAGGGCCTTCTCAGGGGGTTCCGAGCCCGGGGGTCCTTTCGAGGCACCCTGAGGGGGTGGGGAGCCACGACCCCGTTCTGGGGGTGGAGGAGACACGAGGGTCACCCCAAAATCCCCATGAGGGGCTGGGGCACCCCTCGATTTGGGGGAGGAGTTTTTGGGGGATTTTGGGGGGGTTGGGGAGATTTTGGGGGATTTTTGGGGGATTTTTGGGGGAGATTTTGTGGGAGATTTTGGGGATTTTTGGAGGGATTTTGAGGGGATTTTTGTGGGGAGATTTTTGGGGATTTGTTTTGGAGGGATTTTTGGGGGGATTTTGGGAGGCATTTTTAGGGAACTTTTTGGGGGGATTTTTGGGAGGACTTTTGGATTAGATTTTGGGGATTTTTTGGGGGATATTTTGAAAGATTTTTGAGGGGATTTTTTGGGGATTTTGGGGGATTTTTTGAGGAGGATTTTTGGGGGATTCTTTAGGGATATTTTGGGAGATTTTGAGGGATGTTTTGGGGGATTTTTGGGGGATTTTTGAGGGATTTTTGGGGATTTTGGGGGTTTTTTGGGGAGTTTTAGGAAGTTTGAGGAGGGATTTTTGGGGGATTTTTGAGGGATTTTGGGGATTTTTGGGGGATTTTTGGGGGGATTTGTTTGGAGGATTTTGGGAATTTTTGAGGAGTTTTTGAGAGGGATTTTTGGAGGGATTGATTTTTGGGGGATTTTTGGGGGATTTTGAGGGGATTTGGAGTCGATTTTGAGATTTTGAGGATTTTTGGGAGACTTTTGGAATGATTTTTTGAGGGAGTTTTTGAGGGGAGTTTTTGGGAGATTTTGGGGATTTTTGGGGAGATTTTTGGGGGATTTTTGGAAGAATTTTTGGGGAGTTTTGGGGGATTTTTTGGGGAGGATTTTGGGGGATTTTTAGGAGAGATTTTTGGGGATTTTGGGGGATTTTTGGGGGCATTTTTGGGGATTTTTGAGGATTTTGGAATTTTTGGGGGTTTTTGGGGGGATTTTTAGGAGTTTTGGGGGATTTTTGGAGGGATTTTTGGGGGATTTTTGGGGATTTTTGGAGATTTTTTGGGGGATTT